AAAAGGATAAAAAGGATAAAGTCTTCGCCGTTGATCAATCCCTTTGTGGGATGCGGCACGCATTCTACTTCCATTCAGAATCGTAGTGGCTTATTGAATGCGATGTGGCCTATACAATGACTTGCGGTGGCCAGCCGATGTACAAGTCAGTGTTTTATCCTCCCAGACGAATCTGGTACCAATTTACCGTCCCCGGAGGGTAGAAGGCTTGGTTGGCCTGGGCGGGTGTCGACCTGGGATTCGAACCCAGGACCGCGCGAGTGGTAAGCGCGCCACTTGTCACTACACCACCTCCGCCTCCGTTCAAATTATTGGGGGGAAAATCGGAAAATGTGGGTAAATGGTAGGTAGGTGTTGGGGAAGGGGGGGGACGTCGTATCAAGGCCTTCTCTCAGGTGGGGGAGGTCGTATTGACACTACAGCTGTTGGGGAAGAGGGGGTGTCGTACCAAGACCCTCTTTTAGGTGGGGGGGGGGTCGTAATGACGCCACCATTTCACCATTTCACATCACGATGCGGTACGTTGGCAGCGGAAGCCATTCAGATAGAGTACGTGTTCATGCCTTCTCCCATTTTGAGATACGGGGTGCAGGTGCATCTCAAGAGTTTTTTTTCTCAATAAAACTTGTCTTTTCAAGTGTCCCCCGTACTACTCATAAACTCTAACATCACTAGTACAGTAGCAACAGTTCCAGGGAACCTTGCGTATCTCTTCGTACTTCCCTGTTCGTAAGCGTGGTGCCTTGGATTATCCGGATGTGTGCGGAAAGCGTCGTCGACGAGGTACAACAGTCTCAGATGTACAGTTCATGTCACCAGTTGGAGCTTTTAATGATGTGACACCACTGCGATACCGTTGCGTTGATGATCAAGATGGTAAGCAATTCTATTCATATATTAAGACTTCTCTCAAACAAGCAAATGGTCATGTGATTTGTTCAGAGTGCGTTCATACTTCTCGTCGGCGTCTCGAGCTACTCGAACGCAAAGGAAATTGCAGGCGCTGATATATATTTTTCTTACCGCGTGTTGAGTTAATGCCAGCGTTACGAGGCTGCGTTCAGACTTTGTCGGCGTACACCAGCGCGCGAGTAGGAAAGTATAGATATAGGTCTAGCGTACGCTGGCGTATGACAGCGTACACCAGCGTTTTCGCGGGCAATTTCAGCTTTAACTGCCCGCGAAACGTTGCGCCTATGTACACTAGATCGATACCTATAGTGCTCTAGTCACTGGCGG